TTACTTTATTTAACTTGTTCAACTCAAGGTGCATGCTTAGTATATGCTAGCGGGTTATATTTGATTAATTGCTTACATTTGATGTCTGTTAAGTTGCATGGGTCAGTATGCATGTGTGTGGAAAGATGTGAGGAAGACTATTAAACACTCATGTAGTAAAACTATGCTTATAAAGCAACACAATACCATGGTGCTTTGATGTTGAAAGACTATCACATTACAATGGAATTTACAAGGTGGTCCAAGTGTATTTCAAAGAATACCGTGGTATTACCATGGTACATGTTCAGAAACCCTTAGTACTGAAGTCATTTATTTGTTACACACATGATGCATAAGCAGTAAATTGCTTTAAACTAACCCTAAAAAGTGATCATAGGAATCAAGTTTAGGAATGAAAGTTAAAATGTAAACGGATAACAAAAGGAGGGCTATGTGTCTGAGTACACTTAATAAACGTAAGCGAAAATATACTATCATGATACCATGTATGGTACTACCATAGTACAGAGCATTGAATGCACACTTAAAAGTAGGTTCATTCAAGCGTACTGAATTGTATTAATTGAATTGAATTGTAATAAAGATGTTGTAGTCTTGGTTTAGGGTAACTAAGTGAAGGTTATATGAATATAACATTTCAAAGAAGGCCAACGGTTTTCAAAGACATTCACACAGTGTTTGTGACAGTATTATGGCGAGATTTTGATCGTAAACACTAGTTAATAATTCAATTTAGTGTCATTAGATGGCTTACACAGCATGCGTTATAATAATTACTCAAAATTCCAAGAGAAAATGTAATAAGTAATCGCAAAACACATATGTACTGTATGCACTGCAAAAAAATGATTTTCTGGCTCTGTATTTTTTATCTTGTTTTCAATATAAGTATCTAAATAATCTTAAATCAAGATACATTTATTTGAGAGGCAAAATTCTTTCAGACGAATCCAGTCGGAGTTATATTAAAAATTGTCTTTGATGTTTCAAGCTCTATCATTGCAGTCAGCGGGTGTTGCATTGCTTCAGTCCAAAAGAAGTTAAATAAAAAGCGCCCATGCATAAAAAAAAGTGTCTCGCTCGGCTCCGGGGGGTGAACAAAGGCCTCCTGAAAAATATCCATATTCAAAATGTAATAATCACTTTAATGTAGCTTGCGCCAGCAGTTGTACACTGAAGCAGCTCCGGACGGATGACGTATGAGGTCAGCTTTGCGCATGCGCCGCTCAGAAGTGACGAACGCGGAAGCGCAGCGGAGAGATCAAAAGACAACGGTCAAGAATTAGAAGTACAAAACGAGGATTTGTAAAGAAGAATGTCAGAGGATTTGGATATAAGCCAAGAGGAGACTGGTTTTGCTTTTCTAAAGTAAGGAAACTTTGCTTCCTTTGATCCTGTAAGCAAACGTTGGTTTTCACGAGACTCACCGGCGCATGCGCAGCGCTGAACTCATACGTTATCCGCCCGGAGCTGCTTCTGTGTACAACTGCTGGCGCAAGCTAGATTAAAGTGATTATTATGTTTTGAATATGGATATTTTTCTTACAAAAACACATCGATTCACTACAGGAGGCCTTTGGCTCGGCTCCGGGGGGTGAACAAAGGCCTCCTGAAAAATATCCATATTCAAAATGTAATAATCACTTGAATCTAGCTTGCGCCAGCAGTTGTACACTGAAGCAGCTCCGGACGGATGACGTATGAGTTCAGCGCTGCGCATGCGCCGCTCAGAAGTGACGAACACAGAAGCGCAGTGGAGAGATCAAAACAAAACAATGGTCACTAATTAGAAGTACAAAACAAGGATTAGTCATATACACCTAGTATGCCTCGGGGGTGAGTAAAACGCAGCCTAATCTTCATTTTTGGGTGAACTAACCCTTTAAGTCAAGTTACATTTGCTTGAGAGGCAAAATGACTTGAGATATTAAGTTTTCTGAAAAATGTATCAAAAATAAGTGAGTTTATGCATAAAACAAAGAAACAAAAATATATCTGTCAACGGGGTCAGAAAAAACTTAATTCAAAGGCAAAACAAGATTATTTTTCTTACCCCACTGACAGATATTTAGTCTTGTTTTAAGCATAAATTCACTTAATTTTGATACGATATGAAGTCTTGTTTTCTGAAAAATGTAAGTCATTTTTCTTACTAAGTATTTTGTCTTTTTTCCAGTATAACTGACTTGAGATGTCAAGTCTTGTTTTCTGAAAAATGTATCAAAATTTAGTTGAATTTATGCTTAAAACAAGAAAATATTTCTGGCAATGGGGTAAGAAAAAAAAAAACAAGATCATTTTTTCTTATTTGAAGCATAAATCCACTGAATGTTTATACATTTTTCAGAAAGTAAGATTTAAATTCTTAAGTAATTTTCCTTCTCAATTAAATGTATCTTGATTTAAGAATGTTTAGATATTTATAATGGAAAACAAGACAAAAATACCAAGTTAGAAAATCCTTTTTACAGTGTATCACTCATACATACTGCTCATGCACAGTCCTGCAACCAGAAACATTGGTGAAAATACAAATGATGTTGGTTATTAATTAGGAAGTTACTTTTTTTGTATTGATTATTGAGTTTTGAGCATGTTCTATCTAAAAGCTCAAATTTCCCTTGTCTTGTACAGGGCTCTGTACATCCAATATGAATGGGGTCAATGCCAACCCTGACGCTCAGGTTGGGAATGAAGAGAGGGGCATTTGGCATAAACGCCTGCGTCTCAGGAAGACCTCCTTTTCATTCCCCGCTGAACGAAACACTGTGAAAGAGGAGAAGAATGTTACAGCACGTGGATGGAAAGTAACAGGGAAGTCCAAGAAATGGCCTCGATGTCTTCCGGCGGCGAACACCTTCACCTGCTCCTCGTGCAACGACGGCATCTCCTTCAAACCCGGCGAATTAACGATGCATTTTAAGATCGCCCACGGAGGCAAAGGAAGCCCACCGATGTTTCCATGCAACCTGTGCGGTTTCTCCACGCCAGTGTTCACTACGCTTCAGCAGCACCGAATGCAACACGAGGATTGTTTGTTCGCTTGTGAGATTTGTGATGACTATGTCCAGCGAACGCTTCCCCAACTGACCAAACATTGTCAAACTCACCATGCTCTAAACGGACAATACTACTGTCCGAAGTGCAAACTCTCCTTCCAGGAGATTAAGCAGTTTGTGTGTCACTCGTGTAGCATTTCTG